TACTGAAAATGCCCATATTTAGGAAATAAGTTAAATAAGCAATTGATCACTCTCCTTGTGCTTGACAACACAACAAGGTCCATTCATTTAAAGACGCCATACATACAAATATTACTCACTGATCCAAGGACAACCAGTGACCAGAAGCCATGTGAGGACTCACATTCTTATTCTTGTAAAAAAAAAGACTCACATTTTTAATTATTTATGTAGGTCATGCACCATGATGACCTTTTCATTAATTTAGGTAGGTTTTATTTATAGTAGCAGATGGACCTTCACTTCAAATTCAGCTGGCTTTCAAACCCTTTAACAGAAACGTCTGATGCCGGACAATTTGGTGGGGAATAGTTGTAGGTATCCTTGCATACGCATTGTTTGGAGTTGGAATCCCCTGTGGTGCAATCACACTTTTTGCACCAGAGGGGACAGGAGTTCCTCACGTCCACGCAACGGCATGTTGGGGGACATGACCTTGTGCAGAAGCCTAAATTGCAGCATGGACTGCAAGTGTCACCTGCAAAAAACAAAAAACAAAAAAGAAAAGAAAGAAAAAAAAGAGATAGACAATGACAGAATGAAAATATGTTTAAGAAAATAAAAGAGTGGAGTGCTAAAGAAACAAAGAAGATGACCATAGAGGGGGATAGAATGAAGATTCAAAGGGGGGAGATGGGCCTCTTAGTTTTAAGACTAAAAACCTTCATCATTAGCCTAAAAAATAAAGAGTGATTTACGTTTGGACCCTAAAATATTTTGCAAAATATGAAATGCTCCATTTATATGTCCAAATTATAAAGAAAGTTGGTCAACTCATTTTTTTTTTTTTTTTATTTTTTTCAAAAATTAGCTTTACAATTTGAGAATAAAATACCTCAATCCAAATTTTAATTTATATATATATATATATATATATATATTTAACTTTTTCATTTGTAAGGAAGAGCGTGGCCTACTAATGGAAAAACAATAAAAAAAAAATTCAATCCAAGGATGTCCTAGGACTGATGGGTAATTTTGAAAAAATGAAAAAAACCGTGTTGAACAACCTTTTATGTAATTTTCACCAATAAACATAGCATTTGTAGTTTAAGAAAAATTTTAATGGCTGAATGTCAATCACTCAAAAATAAAAGCTACTATTGTATTGTTTGGTAGCAGTCACTGCTCAGTGTGTTGATGCCGAAACGGAATCACCCTACCGAGCAAACTGCCATTCAGTGGCACCGTTTGCATCATTCTGTAAAAGGGGTTGAGACCCACTTCTCATTAATTATAAGGAACAATGGTATTCACCATCACTGCACATCAGGAGATCGTAAAATACAGGAAAAACAACTTATCCATTGTTTGGTGTCTATAAATACTGTGTTCCTGCACCGAAATTGAATTACCATATTTGCAAAATGAGAATCCCTATTTTCTGTTTTTTGTTTGCATTCCATCCCACAAAGGCGACAGGTTTTACCTGGTCATGAAAGCTTACCAAAGTTGGGATTGGTTTCAATGGCCTTCACCCCATACTCACGGACAGCTATGAACACAAATAGAAGAATGAGAACCACTCTAAACTCACCCATTCTGTTTCCTCACAGAGAAGAATAGAGAAAGAGAGGGATAGGTAAGTAGGGTTTGCAACTTTGTATTGGAGGGTTGGGCCCTTATATAGGGAAGGAAAGGGGCGTTGGGTACCGTTCTTACACGTGTGTGCTTGCTGGGGTCGGGTTTCACACGAACGCTTTCTACTTAGAGAGAGAGGTGTGTGTGTGTTTTTTTTACATGTGGTTTTTTACATGGACCACATACCTCCCAAAGAAAAATATGTATGCACACACATATACCTCCCAAAGAAAAATATGTATGCACACACATATCCCCCAAAGAACAATAGTGCTATTATATAAGGAAATGTATACGCTATGATTATTTATTTTTTATAAGGAAGTCACAATCACTAATGACCATTGGATGTGAAATCAGGTGGCTGTGGATGTGTTATTCACTAGACAAAGTTTAAAATACAGCTACTTATGTTATATACTTTAAGCTGGTGGATTCCACATCTGATGGCCGAAAGTGATTGTGACCTCTATAGACTAAAAATGAAAGTCTTTATAAAGTCCCTAAAGAAAAATAATGTTATTAATCATTGTGAACGTAGTTGACTAAGTGTTATAAGACCAACAACAAGTCAAAAAAAAAAAAAGATAACAAAAATTGTCTTTCTTTCATCTTTTTTTTTGTCTGATCTGGATCAGCAATCAGACCGATCTGAATTGAAATTGGTCAGTGGCAATCTACCCCAACAATCTGTAATTTACAGCACTTAAGATTTGATTTTTGGAATGTAACATCCTTGAATAGAAAATGAAGTCTTAATATTGAACAAAAGTTATTTAATTTTAGGAAAATTATAAATACCCCCCAAAATCAATTTTTTAGAAAGGAAAAATATCTTTGTACCCCTTGTTTTTAGGTTTCATTTCTCGATAGACCTAAAGTTTGGAAACATATCTTAGAATATAGAGATCTTATTTATTATATCCTCTAACCCCTTAGACCAACTTTACTTATTTTTTACTTTATTTTTAACCCAAACAAGTTTTAAAATGACGTGACATTTGTAACCCCATCTTCTCTTTCTTCACGTGACTCTCCCAAAAACTTCTCTTTCTATTTCTCTCAACTCTAATTCTCTCTCTCTCTCTCTCTCTCTCTCTCTCTCTCTCTCTCCCCATGGCTCTCACACTTGTTTTTTTTTTGGTAAATCCGTGGGGGAGAAGGCCCCCTGCCCAATTTGCATTAATCAAAGATAGAAAAATATACATCATACTATTTTATGGCCCTACAATAGGATAATTGTGGCACATCATAAAGTAAAGGAAGGTAAGCCTAGAGCGCTAAATGGTGGCCTTCGTAAAATCATAGTTTTTTTGCAGGTGCATCGACCACCATATTAACCTCCTGGTAGACATGGGAGATGGACCATGAATAATTATTAAGTCTAAACTTGCAGTTAGCAGCTATGATGTGAAGTGCCCATGGAGATTTACAATTGCCATGTATAACCTGAACAATTAGGTAGGAGTTGCTTTCAACATGGAGAGGGAAGCAGTTCATTTGAATCCTAAATCAATGCCCGTTCTAAACCCCGAAATTCTGTAAAATTATTGGACGCCGTAACCAGGGGAAAAGAAAATACAGCAATAAAAGAACCATCATCCCTTTTAATGATACCTCACAGCCCGCTCTTCCTAGATTTTGAATTGAAGACCCATCAACATTTAGCTTAAAATATTGTGGATGTGGAAATGACCAAGCCATTGCTATGGGAAGCTTTGCCTCCAAGTGAAATGTAAATTTCCGGTAATTGCTTTTTTCTGAGATATGATAGGTCCAAGCTTTAGCATCTGCAAATCACGTACCTGGCAAGCAATCCTCCTAATCAACTGCTCTCGCGTGCGTCTCCTTCCTTGAAACATGCGATTGTTGCGCTCCTCCCAAATCATCCATAATATTGTGAAGAATAGAGAGAGCCAAATATTAGTGATGCCATCAGATTTGAATCTGAATGCTGGCCATTTCCTTAAAGAGGTTGCAATAGAGAAATATGGGTTAAACCTTTTACCACATCTCCATGCAACCAATCTCCAAATTCCCTGCCAAAACATGCATTCAAGCAACATGACATATGTTGTCATCAGAAAATTAACAAAAGGGGCATATAGAAAGCAAGGGTGATGCCCCTTTACTGCATGAGAAAAGAAGTAGGAAGTTGATGATGTAGGCTTAACCAGGAAAACCATTTAGCCTTAGGATGACACCTGAAAGACTATTGTGTTTTATAAATTGGCTGAGAAGAACCCTTTCGTCGAATGAAATTCCAGACATCTTTAACTGAAAAGGTTCCACTTGAAGAGTTAATCCACATCAAAAAATCTATCTGGGGTTTCCTTAGGATCGTAGCGTCATTCACTTCCTTCCAAAGTCTAATCGTAGGGCTTGCTGGAGGGGTAGGGAAATGTAAGGACTGTGGATAGCCATATAAGAAATCTGAAACTTCGGTTAGAAATCCCTCCCAAGGCCTTTTGAATATGATAGCCATAAGCTTCTATAAGGGAGACCTCTGATAACTATGGATCTGTCCAAAAATCAATTGTCCTACCATTGAACATTATGGCACAAGAGAGACAACCCTTTTTGTGTGCCCTCCCATGTATAGGAACAAACCTTTCTATCCAGCTCCAAGATCGAGGAATTTCTGAAATACCTATACCTAAAGAAATGGGCTATAAGAGATGACGGGTTAGACAGAATTCTCCATACCAACTTCATAATGCCAGCGTTTTCGAACTCCACAGTCTCACGAATTTCAAGTCCCCCTCTTTCATAGGCATACAAACATTTTTCCACTTTACAAGGTGAATCCCCTTCTTATGAGTTGTATCAACCCATAAAATTTTTTGGTGTAACCTTTCTAACATATTACATGTATGTCTGGGCACTATAAAAGATAGAACCCAAAAAAGGCAGATGAACTTAGCACCGACTTCAACAGTTGTAACCGCCTTGCATAAGAGAGAGAGATGAGGCTTGCCATGTTCCTATCTTGCCAATGAACTTCCCCACCAGATTCTGACAACTATGACACTTTAGTTTGCTTGAAACAAAAGAAATCCCAAATATCTTACTGGAAGGGAACCCTCACCAAACCTTAAATCCATCAAAATCACATGTTTGATGCTCATGGAGGCTCCAAATAAAAAACCTTGCTTTTGGTTAAATTCAATTTTTGCCCTGTGGTATATTCAAAAAGAGAGAATAGAATTCATCTGCCTTGCTTCTACTAGAGAAGCCTCACAAAAAATAACCGCATCATCCGCATATAATAGGTGTGATACCCCATAATCATATCCAGAAGGAAAAGCTTCAGGGAACGTTACTTGTACCATTGCATAATCCAACTGCCTACTCATGAAATCCATCACCAACAGGAAGAGATATGGGGATAAAGGGCCACCCTGCCGTAATCCCCTCTTGCCTTTGAAATATCCCCTTGGAGAACAATTATGTAGCACATGAATGAGGGAGAAGTAATATAGTTATGAATCCAATATATAAAAAGACCTAGAAAACCCAAAGCGCGCTACCTAGAAAGAACAAAACTCCAAGATACCCGATTATAGGCGCTACTTAGGTCCAGTTATAATCGTATCTTAGGATTGACTGAGTTTTTATGACATAAGGAAATGAGTTCATTAGCCATCAAAATGTTATCAGTAATCAATCGCCCCTTCAAGATTGCAGATTGTCTGGAATTAATTAGAGTATGCAACACCTCCCTCAATCTATTAGAAATGAGTCTAGTAATGATTTTGTAAAGAACATTGTATAACCCAAATGGCCTGAACTCCTTCATCACACTAGGGGAATTGACTTTTGGTATAAGCAATATAAATGTAGAATTAATCTGTTTGAAGAGTTTTCCTTTCTTGAAGAAATCATGTAGGGTTAAAAAAAGATCATTGTTGATAGCTTCCCAGTTACATTTACAAAATTCAATTGTAAAGCCATTTGGGCTTGGAGCACTCTCACTCTTCACTCCCAAAATACAAGCATTCATTTCCTCTATTGACACCTCCCTTATAAGTTCCCTTTATTGGGTTTCACTAAGTGTCGAAGGAGGAAGAAAATGATCAGCTACATTGAGATCAGTATCATTTTCTTGACCCAACAACTCTTCAAAATAGCCAATCATGTGGTCTTGAATTTGTTTCTTAGATATCATAGAAACCCCATTCTGATCTTTAAGGAGGGTGAGCCTATCATTTCTTCTCCTTATGATGGTTGACAAATGGAAGAAACATGTATTTGAGTCCCCCTCCTTCAACCAAGTCTAGTGTGATTTTTGTCTCTACATACTTTCATCATTTAGAAGTAAATGCTGCAAGATATGTGTACATGTTTTCTCCTCCAACATAAGATCTTCATTAGAAGGATCATGACTTAAATCATCATACAGAAGCAATAGCTTTTTCCTGGTATCAAAGATTTGGTTCCCCACATGCCCAAAACAACACCTATTCCAATCTCTAAGATCCTTCCTCAATCTTTTAAGTTTTGACATAAATCGGAACACAGGTGTGCCCCCGCACTAACTTGCCATGATTCAGAGATAAAATCCATAAAACCTGGGAATAGCTGCCAAGTCGTAAAGTATTTGAATGGTTTTCGTTCAATCAGAATCCACGTTGAGAGAGAAACCAATAAAGAGCAATGGTCTGAATTACCCTTAGAAAATAATTCTATGTTGGATTCCGGGTACGACAAAAGCCATTCCACATTTCCCAGGGCTCGGTCAAAATGCTTTTTTATACATCTTTTCTTAATTTGGCTGTCAGACCAAGAAAACCACCCCCTTGTTGAGCCTAAGTTGGTAAGTGCACAACCTGCCAATGCATGTGCAAAATTACCTGAATTCGGAGGTAAAGAATCCATGCTGCCCATCTTTTCATAATTATCCAATATCATGTTAAGGTCATCAAGAACTATCCAAGAACCCCTGGTAGCTATACATATATCCCTCATCTTATCCCAAAGAACTGCCCTTTGCCCAACCGAATTAAAAGCATATATACCCGAGACTGTTAAGGTG